TTTGTTTCATTTTCTTTCCTTCTTTCTTTTTTTCTTTTTCTTTTCTTATATTTTTATTACTCATCTATATTTCGATTCTTTCTTCAGTCTCCACTTCTACTCCTCTGTTAATATCTTCTTTTTTTTCTGTTATTTATTTCCTATTGTAGATATAAATTTCGTTCACTTTCGACTTTCTTTTCTTCTTCAGGTTCTTCTTCTATTACTTCTTCATCTTTTTCTTCTGTTTTAATATTAGGTTGGTACAAAAATAACGACGTAATAATGTCGTTTTTTGACGTTAAAAATACGTCAAAAAACGACATTATTAGGTCATTATTTTCGCACCAAACTAATACATCCTGTTTTTTTTTCTGTTATTTCTTTCCTCTTACAAATCTAAATTTTCTTTTCCTCATTATCTTCGTTTTTCTTTTCCTTTTCTTTTTTATTTCTTCTCTTTCTACTTCCCTGTTAATTGCATATTCTTTTTTTTCTGCTATTTTCTTTCTATTATATGTTCAAATTTTCTTCACTTCGTTCTTCTTATTGTTGTTCCTTTTCTTCTCCATTTTGATCTTCTCTGTTAATCCACTCTTCCTGTCGTCATTTATTTCCTAGTACTATTTCCTTCTCATTATGCTTCTTTTTTCCATTTTCTTTTCATACTTATTCTTTTTTATTTCATTTTCTTCTTCATTAATTCACGTCGACTCACCTACACACACAAATGGCATCCTAACGTAACCCTCTATCTCAAGTGGTACACGGGCCTTGTAACGGGTGACTCTCACTGTAAAAATAGATTTCTTCTTCTTCATCATCATCCTCATCTTCTTCTTCTTCTTTTCTCCCTTTCATATTCCTTCTTTCTTCCTCATCCCCCTCATCCTCCTCCACCTCCTCCTCATTCTTTCTTCTTCCTCCTCCTTCTCCCTCTCCTCCTCCCATTCCTCTCATCATCCTCCACCTCCTTCTCTTTCTTCTTCTTCCTCCTCCTCTTCTTCTTCTTCTCTCTCCTCCTCCTTCTTTCTTCCTCCTCCTCCTTCTTTTTCCTCTCCTTCTCCCATTCCGCTCCTCCTCCTCCTCCTCCTCCTCCTTCTTCTTCTTCTTCTTCTTCTTCTTCTTCTTCTTCTCACCTATTTTTTCTTTTACCTTCTTTGCTTCTAATTCATTTTGTTTTCGTCATTCTCTACTTTCTTGTTCATATCTGTTCATTCTAATACTTTCCTTAATCTATTCACATCTTCCAGTTGTTTAAAAATCTACTATCGCATTTTTCTCCTCAACATTAGATCATTTCTTGTGAACCAACAGTAGAATCTTACGCTTGACATTTCATTTTGTAGGATGTAACGGCTTGGCGAAAGCCTATAGAGTTGACTACAAAATGTTTTCACTGTTTACTTTGGATACTTGAAACCATTTGACATTTGGGAATTTCCAATAAAACCAGCAGGCAAAAATTATAGAAGTTATCGCTCGAAGTCTTCGTACCATCCATTGTTCAGGTTCGTACGAATTAGAAGAAAAAAAATGTAGTGTATAAATGATTAAATAACATGGACACAACTTGGAACTAATAGCAAAGAAAAAGCTTCAGGGTATAAAAGAAAGAGTAGCAAACACTCAATTCGAATCTTGATGTCACAGAGGTGAACCGCCACCGGGATCATATTTGCCGCAGCATTGGTCCATCATCTGGCTAAAGTAGAGAGGAGATGGAGGCAGGATCACATAAAGGCATTAAAGGAATATGGCAATGGATGGTAGGCTGCCATGGAAAAATACATTTACTTTTCATTCATTCGAAACTGTACATTGGCAGTGCACATGAAATGGCGGTAAACTGAAATTATCGACTGAAATATTTTTCGTATATTTATGCAACAGATTTTAGTGGGAAACAAATTTTAGTCTATAATATTAATTATAAACATTTAAATAAAAAGAAGAATTTATATGCTTGTGATTTTGAAATCTTTATATAAAATAATAGATTTCGACAAAGTGCGCCACAAGGATCTAATGGAAATGCTCAGCAACCTTGATATATTCAGGAAAGATATGAGACTGATCCAGAACCGAAACTGGCAGCAAACAGCATGCATGCGCGTAGGGAACGAGTTCAGTTAATATACAAAAATAGAAAGGGGCAAAAGGCAAGGATGCGTCTTCTCACCCGAACTGTTTAACCTGTATAGGAAGGCAATTCTGATAGAGTTGGAAATCCTACCGGAATTCAGATACGCAGATGATACAATACTGACAGCAGACACAGAAATGTAACAACAGAATCTGTTGCAGAATATAGCGACGAAGAGTGAGAAGAAGGGACTAAGCATAGACTACAAGAAGATGTAATGCCCGTTTATCAGTAAGTTGTTGAGCCCGAAATCTGATTTGCAAGTCCAGAGCGCTAGAATCAAGCAAACGTGGAATCAAACTTACTATAAAACCCAGGTTGTGTGTGTGTGTGTGTGTGTGTGTGTGTGTCTGTTCGTTTATATATTGGATCGGA